TTGTACATCCTCCTTGTGGGGGCAGCGGGAGAAAGACGACGCGGAAGAGGAGGGAGAGAAAGCGGTGGGAGGCAAGAGGGACTCAGCGGAGAGGACGATCTCAGCGATGATCTGAACAACGTCGACGCACCCGACGACGACGACGATGTCGACCGCAACGACGACGACCACAACCGCGACGACGACGACGACGACGACGACGACGTCGACGACGACGACGACGAAGGCGGCGGTGCGGGCCCTCGTTGTGTGAGTCCTTCGGCCCCGTCGTCCTTGTGTGAGTCTTTCGGGACCCTATTCCTGGTGTGAGTCGCTCGGTATCCTCGTCGTGTGAGTCGTTCGGGCCCCTCCTCCTGGTGTGAGTCGTTCGGGCTCCTCGTGTTGTGAGTCGTTCGGGCTCCTCGTGGTGTGAGTCGTTCGGGCGCGTCGCCCTGGTGTGAGTCGTTCGGGCCCCTCGTCCTGGTGTGAGTCGTTCGGGCTCTTCGTGGTGTGAGTCGTTCGGGCCTCTCGTCCTGGTGTGAGTCGGTCGGGCTTCTCGTGGTGTGAGGCGTTTGGGCACCTCGTCCGCGTGCGAGTCGTTCGGGCCCTTCGTAGTAAGAGTCGTAGTCGTCGTCGAGTCCAGCGATCTGCCCGACCAGCGTCGTCGTTGTTGCCATTCTGGCTAACAGTATCTCAGTGTGGCTGTGAGCTTCGCTCCGCCTACCAGGGATCCACGATCTTCAGGCTATACTAGTATACAAGGCTGTCAGGCTCAAGTTTTAGGTTTCTTCAAGGCTTACCACAGGGTTTCTATGTGTACAAAAGCTGACAATGGACACTGGAGTCCGTTGGCGATCCTGCAGTCGCACGTTTCAGAAATGTCATGTTGTCTTGGTTGTTTTGTGTTCTGTTGAATCAATTGCGGTCCTGTCTCAAGTTTTGTCTTCAAGTGAATATTCCCCGACGACGGCGACGACGACGACGACGACCCTGCCTCTCGCTCCGGGCGGTCGTCTTGGCTGCTGGCAGCTGGGCGGCTCTGGGCGGCGTCGGGCCTCCGCTGACCGATTCCTAGATGCATATATGTATATCTTGTACATGTATGGTGTGTCGACGTATATGCATATATATATATATATATACATATATATATAAATGTATATACATGTATATGTATATGTATGTATATATATATATAACGCGGACGCAGTTGAGAGTCGATGGGGGGAGGGGGCCTGGCCCGCGGCCTAGGGCGGGGCCCGAGACTCTGGGACAGGACCCAGGGCCTCATCATCGTAGGATGCTCATCATTCTCATCATCGCTATGATGGTGGGGGAGGAGGAGGACAGCTACCAACTGCGCGTTGGCGCCACCGCCGCCCCCCCGCGCCCGGTGGCGCACCCGCAGTGCGGCTGCGGGAGGGGCTGCGCCTCAATTCCTGCAGAGGCGGCCTGCAGGAATGATTCAATTTTGGCGTCTTGTATAAACGCCCGAGCGGCCCACCCTTTTTTGGGGGGCTGGCGGTTCACGGGGGAGGAGGAGACCGTCATCATCCCCCCTGCCGCGTTCGCCTTCCCTCGACGACGATGTCGACGACTTCCCGCGTTCTGGCTGAAAGGCGGGCCCACTCTCCCTCGTTCGGGCCGCTTGTTTTCTGGGGGGTGTTCACGGAGTCGTCCGGGCCATTCGTTCGTGCGTGCATGCTTCTGGAGTTTTCTGCGCGTCGTTCGGGCCGCTCGTCCTGGTGTGAGTCGTTCGGGCCCCTCCTCACCAGCCCATCTCGCAGCAGCAACTCTCGCGAAGCATGCCGACAGTCGTGTTTTTCAGGCGTGTGTCCGCTGGGCCCCGCATATTTCCCCTGTTCTTCCTTCCTCCTGCCTCCGTGCACATCCTCCTCGTGGGGGGGGGGCGGGGGAAGGGCGAGGCGAAGGAGGAGGGGGAGAAAGCGCTCCTCGTGGTTTGAGTCGTTTGGGGTTTCTCGTCTTGGTCTGAGTCGTTCGGGCCCTTCTTCCTGGAGTGAGTCGTTCGGGCTTTTCGTTGTGTGAGTCGTTCGGGCTCTTCGTCCTGGTGTGAGTCGTTCGGGCTTCTCGTGGTGTGAGTTGTTCGGGCCCGTCGTCCTGGTGTGAGTCGTTCGGGCCCCTCCTCCTGGTGTGACTCGTTTGGGCCCCTCGTGGTGTGGGTCGTTCGGGGCCCGCGTCGTGGTGTGAGTCCTTCGGGCTCCTCGTGGTGTGAGTGGGTCGGGCGCCTCGTCCCGGTGTGAGTCGTTCGAGGCCCGCGTCGTGGTGTGAGTCGTTCGGGCTCCTCGTGGTGTGAATGGGTCGGGCGCCTCGTCCTGGTATGAGTCGTTCGGGCTCCTCCTTGTGGTGTGAGTCGTTCGGGCTCTTCGTGGTGTGAGTCGTTCGGGCCCCTCCTCCTGGTGTGAGTAGTTCGGGTCCCCCCTCCTGGACAGAGTCGTTCGGGCCCCTCCTCGATGTGTGAGTCGTTCGGCGAGGGGCCCGAACGACTCACACAAGGAAGAGCCCGAACGACTCACACCAGGGCGAGGGGCCCCAACGACGCACACCACATGCATTCTGGTCCAGGACGTCGCCGTCGTGTGAGTCGACAGAGTCGGTTACGTGTAAGACTGGTGAACGACCGCCTTCTGTCTTGCCTCCCATCGCCTTCTCTCCCCCTCCTCTTCCTCCTCTTCGGCTCCTAGTCGTAGTAGTAGACGTTGTACCAGTAGGATCAGTTGTAGTACTGGTAGTGGTAGTAGCAGTAGTAGTAAGCAGTAGTAGAGTAGTAGTAGTAGTAGTAGTAGTAGTAGTAGTAGTAGTAGTAGTAGTAGTAGTAGTAGTAGTAGTAGTAGTAGTAGTAGTAGTAGTAGTAGTAGTGTAGTAGTAGTGTAGTAGTAGTAGTAGTAGTAGTAGTAGTAGTAGTAGTAGTAGTAGTAGTAGAAGTCGTAGTAGTAGTAGTAGTAGTAGTAGTAGTAGTAGTAGTTGTAGTAGTAGTAGTAGTAGTAGTAGTAGTAGTAGTAGTTGTAGTAGTAGTAGTAGTAGTAGTAGTATTACTTAGGTGGTAGTAGTAAGTAGTAGCTAGTAGTATGAACAGTAGTAGCAGTGGTAGTAAGTATTAGTCAGTAGTAGTAGAGCGTAGTAGTAGTAGTAGTAGTAGTAGTAGTAGTAGTAGTAGTAGGTAGTAGTAGTGGTAGTAGTAGTATATAGTATAATAAGTAGTATCGTGTGTAGTCGTAGTAAAAGTTACTAGTCGTCCGTAGTACTACTTAGTAAAGTATATAGTAGTATTAGTATATTAGTAGTAGGTTTTTGTAGTAAGTAGTAGTAGGTAGTAGCGTATGAAAGAAGAAGAAAAGATAGTAGTACTATAGTAGTAGTAGATTAGTAGTATAATAGTAAGTAGTAGTAGTAGTAGTAGTAGTCGTCGTCGTCGTCGTCGTCGTCGTCTTCGTCGTCGTCGTCGTCGTCGTCGTCGTCGTCGTCGTCGTCGTCGTCGTCGTCGTCGTCGTCGTCGTCGTGGTAATAGTAGTAGTAGTAGTAGTAGTAGTAGTAGTAGTAGTAGTAGTAGTAGTAGTAGTAGTAGTAGTGGTATTTCCAGTATGTAGTGCAACGAGTATGAGTAGTAGTAGTAGAAGTACAAGTAGTAGTAATCGCAGGGGAAAAGGTAGTAGTAGATGTCTTTTGGAAGCTGCTCGGAGGCCTCTTGGGGCGTCTTCGGCGCCTCTTGGCGCATCTTGGGGACCTCTTGGGGGTATCTGTGGGACCTCCTGGAGGCGTCGTGGTGCCTCCTGGGGATCTCTTGTGGCCCATCTGGGGACCTCTTGGGGCCATATGGTGGACCTCTGGGGGCCCTCTTGGGGGGCTTCTCTGGGCGCTGCCCCTCCTCCTGGTGTGACTCGTTCGGGCTCCTCGTGGTGTGAGTCGTTCGAGGAGCGCGTCGTGGTGTGAGTCGCTCGGGCTCCTCGTGGTGTGAATGGGTCGCGCGCCTCGTCCTGGTAGGAGTCGTTCGGGGTCCTCCTTCTGGCGTGAGTCGTTCGGGTTCTTCGTGGTATGAGTCGTTCGGGCCCCTCGTCCTGGTGTGAGTCGTTCGGACTCCTCGTGGGGCCTCTTGGCGGCCTCTTGGGGGCCTCCTGGGGCCTCTGGGGGCCTCTTGGGGGCCTCCTGGGGGCCTCTTGGGGGCCTCTTGGGGCCTCTTGGGGGCCTCTTGGGGGCCTCTTGGGGGCCTCTTGGAGGCCTCTTGGGAGGCTCCTGGGGGCCTCTTGGGGCCATCTTGGGGCCTCTTGCGACCTCCTCAGAAGCGCAAAGAAGCGCTGCCCCCTGAGAAGGACAAAATGAGCCCAAAACCCTCGTACAATCAATGATTTTGCTATGAAGGAAGATGAGCGCGGCCCCCTCGGGAGGCCAAGATGGGGCCAAAACCCTCGTAAAAAACAATGATTTTGGCTTCACAGAAGAGGAGGGGGCTACAAGAGGGTCCCCCCGTCGGAGCCAGAATCCTCGTGAGGGTCGTCGTTTTTTGGCCCTCCCAGGCGTCGAAAAAAAAACCCTGACCACCCGCGGGGCTCCCTCTCCGGGCCCAGGGGGAGGGGGTAGGGGGAGGGGTAAACCCCTCCCCGAAGGGGAAGAAGGGGGGTTGGGGGGTTGAGAACAGAGAGAGCTCGCTAAACCACTCACGCCCAGGGCTGGTGGGACTACTGCGAGTAATAGTATTACAAGTAGTAATACTCATAACCATAACAAGCATGTGGTTCATACTAACAGTTCACGTGGACCTAAGATCTGGACCCCTTTTCCCCCGACCAGATGTTCATCCCGAGCCGTTTTTTGACGGGTTTGGGCCTGGTGCAGAGCCTCCATAGGCCGAAGACCCCCGCCGTGGTTCGCAGCGCGAGGAGGTGGGGGCCTTTGGGCCCGCTATCGGGAGTCTGCCGCCGATCCATCAGCGATGCATTGCCGATTCCACGTCGATGTTCCCCCCACCCTTCGAGACAGTCATCCCCCCTATCGTTCTCCATCGGCAGGGGAGCCGAGAGCGCCATCGACGTCCACAACAAGTCCCGGCTCCGCCACCACGCCGCCGAGCTCAGCCGCGATTCGCGGCGGCTGCAGGCCCTGGTGGACATCTCGAAGCCGGAGGACATCGAGGGCCAGCTGAGAGTCAGCTGAGGGTCGTCGGGGCGGCGCTGCGCCACATTCGCGCGCACGCCGAGCGTACGGCGTTTCGGCGCTGGGCCCCCGTGCACGCGGGCCGGGACGAGACGGCCGAGGCTGGCGAGGACGCGCCAGCGCCCGCCCCTCGCGGTATTCTGGGAGGGAGCTCCTCGCCATGAATCGAAGCAGAAAGCATTGCATTCGCAGAAATTGTCGGAGCTCCGTGTGGATTTCTTGAATCTGCGCTGGGCCCCCTTGGCGGCGCCTTCTGCGCCGCCCCCTGGCGCGCTCCGCGCCTTCGGCGCCGTCCCTGGCGCGCTCCGCGCGCCGGGGAGAGGGGTCCGGGGCCGATCCAAGAGATCCGTGCGCAGTTCCGAAAGTCTATGTTTATTCAGTTTTTTCTTCGATGTCCGAACACGGCCTGGCATGAAGAGCTGGCCCTATCGGGGGAGAAAAAGATACGGATACGTGTTGTCCCCGTTCGTTTTCGGCCTTTCCTGGTCCTCCTGGGGGATCCTCGTTGTCACCGCTGGATTCGCCTCGAAATTCTGGTCAGAACGCACCCCAAGAGAGGTCCGGGGACAACACGTATCCGTATCTTTCCGCCCCCCAGCCCTAGGTGGAATCCCTGAGGCCCAGGACTCATACCAGCTGCCAGATGCAGAGCAGCAGTGATATGCGCGCGTCGTCTTTCAAGGTCTACGTTCAAGTCGGGCCTGTTCCTCTACAGGAGGAATCCGCCGATCCGGCGTGTGAGTTTCTGAGAGCGTGGGCTTGAGCTTGCTCAAGCTTCGCTCTGGAGGGGGGGGTCGGGAGGGGACGACGAAAACCGACGACAGAATTGACACGCGAGGGGGGGGGGGAAAGAGAGAGGGGGGGGGCTGCTCAAGTTTCGATTGCAAAGGGGGGGCGCCAACGACGAAAGAATTGACGCGAGGGGGGGGGGGTAGGAAGAGTGAGAGGGGGGGGCGGACAGGAGAGAGGGGGGGGGGGGACAGGAGAGAGGGGGGGGGGGGGGAAAGGAAGAGGGGGGGGGGGGGAGAGGGGGGGTGGACAGGAGAGAGGAGGGGGGAGGGACAGGAGAGAGGGGGGGGGGGGGGGGGAGGGGAAAGGAGCGAGTCTGAGAGGGGTGGGGGGGAAGGAGAGAGGAGGGGGGGGAAAGGACAGGAGAGAGAGGGGGGGGGGGGAAAGGAGAGAGGGGGAGGGGGGACAGGGACGCGTCATATCTGACATCCTACCCCTCCCTCCCATCCCTTACCATGGCGTAGATCCCCTCTCTACTCGCACAGTCGGATGTCGAGCAGGGCAATGATCCCGAAAGGGTACGCGATGCATTGTAGAGCACGGCATGGCATGGCGTAGAAGAGCACCGCAAAGCGTAGTATCAGCCTAGCATTGCATTGCATGCCGTGGCATGGCACGTCAAATGACGCCAGCGCTGCAGCGGGAGCACGAGTCGGAACGAGCGGAAGCGCGGAAATGAGGCCAGCTCGGAACGAGCGGGGCCCGAAAATGAGGCCGGCGCCTCAGCGAGAGCAGCATGTTGGAAACAAATGCAGTCGAAAACACCATTCCGGGGAATCCTGTGTGTAAAAAACAGTACGCGGGGGGGGCTAATACTTTCAAGCCGTCATCAGGGGAAGAGGGAGAGTAGTATTCATATTGAGTAAATTTGGAGGGTGGGGGGAGGGGAAATGAGAGGGGGGGGAGGAGAGACGGAGGGGAGAGGGGGAGAGAGGGGGGGGTGGACAGGAGAGGGGGGGGGGGGTAACAGGAGAGAGAGGGGGGGAGGGAGGGCAAAGGAGAGGGGGGGGGAGACAGGAGAGAGGGGGAGGGGGATAGGAGAGAGGAGGGGTGGTGGGGAGGGGGGGCCGGGATCATCACCATCTCCATCACGAATCACCATCACCATCATCATCACCATCACCATCACCATCACCATCACCATCATCATCATCATCATCATCATCATCATCATCATCAGTATAATTTGGAGCGTCCCGGATCGGCGGCACTGGCCGGAGGCCACTACAATGTTCAAAAATGGTAAAAACATAGTTTGAGGATTATGTTTTACGTATTTTTTGATGATTTTGAGCAGTTTTGAGTACCTGTAACTTCTCTTGGAACATCGGCCTGCAGGGGGACAGGCCCGACCTAAGTGTACGTGTTTCTCACGCGCTGCTGGTGCAACATTCTGGTGCTGTTCAACAGTAGCATGCTGATGGGTCGGCCGAATGGCGTGACTCGAAGAACATTGTTGAAGCCCCGCACGGATTTCCTGAATTTGCGCTGAACCCACTCCCCGGCGTGCGGAGCGCGCCAGCGGCGCGGCCAGGGATCCCAACAGGTCTTGTTTATGCACTTTTTGCGTCTTTTAGTGGCATGGGTATTTTCGTCGTCTTGTTTATGCAGTCTTTTTCGTCCTCTAATTATGCAGCTTTTTTATCCTCTTGCTTATGCAGCTATTTTTGCCCTCCGAGGTATGGTCATCGTGGTGACGGCATGCTGATCGGCCTGACCAGCGCGGTGACCGCCGCGGGCTTGCATGCTCACGGCGACGGCCGACGCGCTCGAGGTGGGCTTCCTGGGGTTCGCGGGTCCTCTGGGCAAGGTCCAGGTTTGAACGAAGCACCCCGACCAGAGGAGGAAGAGGTACCAATACTGCTACCTTTCCATCGTTTGCCCCTTTCGTGGGCCTCCTGGGAGGCCCTCGTCTGCACGGCTGGATTCGCGTCGAAATCCCGGTCAGAACGCACCCTGGGAGAGGTCCTGGGAGAGCAGTATCGGTACTGTGTGTTTGCCAGCATGTATTCTGAACACGAAGCTGCTGCGCAGTGAATGTGTAAGCAACGTGGTTTTGAGCTACGTGGTGAGCGCTAGGTCGTTCAACCCATGTGGAGCAATCTACTTGGTGCAAGCTTCGTCCTGCGTGGCGCAAGGTATGTGATGCACGCTATGTGGTGGAAACAATGTCGTGGATGGGTAAGCAATGTGGTGTAGGCTACGCGGTGCAATGTATGTGGTGTAAGATACGTGATGATAAAGCCACGTGGTGTAAGGTATGCGGTGTAATAAGTAAGGTGTAAGCTATATCGTGGAAGCCATGCGCTAAAGGCTACGTGGTGCAAGCTACGCGGCCGCCCAGCGCACGAGGCGCCGACTGGCCAGGCATCAAGCCAGACCTCGGCTGACTCACTTGGCGCGCGGGCCGCCCAAGAGGTGCCCTTAGGCGAAGCTTCGGCCGAGACCCAGCGCGCGGTGCCTACGGACGGGCACCGAGCGAATCCTCGGCTGACCCTCCAACCTCCTCCTCCTCCTCCTCTTCCTTCTCCTCCTCCTCCTCCTTCTCCTCCTCCTTCTCCTCCTCTCCCTCCCCCTTCCCCTCCTCCTCCTCCTCCTCCTCCTCCTCCTCCTTCTCCTCCTCCTCCCCCCTTCCCCTCCTCCTCGAAGCGCAGGACAAGATACAGGCTACGTGGAAGGAGTTCGTCCATGGGAACCTTCAAGACCCCGCTGCAAGAGCATTTCTGGCTGCTGGTGACTTCAACGTCAAGGCGGACCCGACGCGCAGCTACGTGGACCCCATCTCGGAAGACTTCGTCCCTGGCACTGTTCCTGCAGAGCGTAGTCGTGGATCTCAACCCCTGCAAGCATAACGGGAACGTCTTTTCTCCATGCTCACTGAAATCTCGACCCCACGCATTACTTCCGAGACACAGCTACCGCGGCCACATTGGACCGAATCTTTATCATACTTCCAACACAGTTTATGCTAGATGTCGAAGTTTTAGCTGAGGTCGACATTGGCGCGGCCGCTATTTCCGACTCCAGGCTCAGATCACACGTCGATCGTTCTTCACCTTCGCGACCGCGCTCGGCACGATCAACAGGCCAAAATTCCTGAACATGTCTTTCGTGACATACGCTACGGAGAGATCCTTGGACAACTTCTCAATGCGGCCCCATTTGATCGATTTTCAGTTGTGTACCAATGGCGCTGCATGACAGAGGCTGCTCGTCAGGTCCGTGACGAGCTACTGCGGCTTACGACCCCGGCCAAAGACTCACACGCCAAGGGAGGAAGTATCATCGCTCTTAGAGCTATTGCCAAATGTGCCCGGCGCAATGACATCCACACGGCCCAGAAGTTGAAGGCCATCACAGCCGACGGCACGCACCGTTGATATCCTCGACAAGCAGGAGTTCGCCCTCATCGTGCGCGCCAACAAATACGAGTTCGAACAGATGGAGGCCTTGCACAAGCTGCTCAGACTGCTGCCGAACAGCCTCAGCCGTGCTGATCTGAACGGCTTGCCATCTCTAATCGTCATTGCCCCGTCTTCTGTCTCATTGCTTGGGTGGGCTTGCAGCTGGCGCACCTCGTTTCGTACAGTGAATCATACCTGGCAGCATGCCGATGCTGCGATATATCGCTTCATCGCAGGTAAATGTACAGCGCCCTGCTGGAAACATCCTTTTTCGATAGCACAAATCATGGAGCGAGCGAGGCCCCCGCTCTACCTTTTCCCAGGTAAGCACGGGTGGCGCACTGCTTTTCGTGCGGCGCGCATGCATACCACATTAGCGCTGCAGGAAGCGCGCCGCCCACATCCACAGCGCTTCTTCGTACGCACGCTTCAAGCAGCCGCTTTTCCTGACTCATTCCCTTCGGCGTTCAGTAGACGGCTTCTCGCGTGGCAGGTCCCGACAGCTGGGGGTGCTGAGGTCGGTGGTCGGGCGGTGGAATTTCTGTCGGACCTGCCGCGCGAGTCTCAAGCCTGCATGGCAATATAATGGTCTCAATACCCTTTGCGTAGCGTGGACGACCACGCACAGATTGCGCATCGGCTCGTCGCTCACCAGCTGTACCTGGGGGCTGCACAGAGCCCGACGAGATTGCACAATACAGGCGTTGCCCGAGAATGTATCACCATTTAACAATGCACCCTGCCTGGAGAAGGCGATCCGTTCCAGGCTCGCCGTTCGCTCTGTTGGGGCTGGGGGGCAGCGTCGGACTTCGGGCGGGCAGGGTCGGATCTATCATGCGAAGGATGCCTGAAGGCGGTCGCCCTGGCATTCCATCTGTACCACAAAGCAGAAGACCTTGCGCAGAAGACACCGATGTCTTCTGAGCACGCATACGATATTCGGAGTGCTGCAAAGCTGGCATTCGAACGGTGAGATGCTCCCATCAAACCAGTGTTTTTCGTTGTCTGTTTCTCTATTCTGCGGGTGGTGGATTGGCATGGGGGCGGGATTGTTTAGACAGGGGGGGGGGGGCGATCGAGGCACCTGATGCGTCTGCTTGATGCGGTCGAGGACCCCCCCGCTATGCTGGACGGGGACCGCGATGCCGTTGTCAGCGGCTCGGCTCGCTCTTTCGCTTTGCCTCTCGGCTTTCTCTTGTGTCAGGGTGGGGGACGACTCGGCCTGCAGGGACATGGTTTCCTTTGTTTTGCCTCTCGCTGGAGGGATGTTTGTTTGACTAATGGTTTGCCTCGGGCGCCTATGTGTGGGCTCTGCTGGTGGCGGAAGTGGCAACGGGTTTCGCCGCAACCCAAAGTGCCACCCAGCAGGAGTCCACTCTCCTTCTGTCCATGCTCACGCGTTGGCTGAGGTCGAGGCGGGCGGTCGACGGACCTTCTCGGTACGTCGTGTCCCTTCCCCTCCTCTTCTTTTCTCCTCCTCTTTCTCCTCCTCCTCCTCTCCTCCTCCTCCTCCTCCTCCTCCCCTCCTCCTCCTCCTCCTCCCCCCCTTCCCCTCCTCTCGTCCTCCTCCTCCTCCCTCCCCTCCTCCTTTCTCCTCCTCCTCCTCCTCCTCGTCTTCCTTTCGGAATCCTCCTCCCTCCTCCTCGTTTTTTCTCTTGCCCCTCGTCGTCCTCCTCCCCCATCCTCCCCCTCCCCCTCCTCCTCCTCCCCCTCCTCCTCCTCCTCCTCGTCCTCCTCCTTCCTTCCTTCCTTCCTTCCTTCCTTCCTTCCTTCCAACGCGCGAGGCGCCCACGAGGCGGCCACGAGGCGAAGCCCTGACCTGATCCACCCAGCGCACGACGCGCCCCCACGGGCTGGCCCCAGGCGAAACGTCGGCCGACGCATCCCCTTTCGGAGGAGGAGGAGGAGGAGGAGGAGGAGGAGGAGGAGGAGGAAGAAGAGCGGAGGAGGAGGAGGAGGAGGAGGAGGAGGAAGGAGGGGAGAAGAACGGAGTGATGAGATGAGGAGGAAAATGCAGAGGATAGTAGGAGGAAGGAGGAAGGAGGAGGAGGAGGAGGAGGAGAGGAGGAGGAGGAGGAGGAGGAGGAGGAGGAGGAGGAGAGGAGGAAGGGGAGGAGGAGGAGAGGAGGAGGAGATGAGGAGGAGGAGGGGAGGAGGAGGAGTAGTAGAGAGGAGGAGGAGGAGGAGGAGGATGAGGAGGAGGAGGAGGAGGAGGAGGAGGAGGAGGAGGAGGAGGAGGAGGAGGAGGGAGGAGGCGGATGAGGAGGAGGAGGGAGGCGGAGGGAGGAGGAGGAGGAGGGGAAGGGGAGGAGTAGGGGGATGGGGGAGGGGAGGGGAGGGGGAGGATGGGGAGGGGGAGGGGGAGGGGAGGGGGAGGGGGATGAGGAGGATGAGGAGGAGGAGGAGGAGGAGGAGGAGGAGGTGGAGGAGGAGGAGGAGGAAGAGGAGGAAGAAGAAGAAGAAGAAGACGAAACATAAGAAGAATAAGAAGAAGAACACTAAGAAACATAAGGAGGAGGAGGAGGAAGAGGAGGAGGAGGAGGAGGAGGAGAAGAACCAGGAGAATAAGAAGACTACTAATAAGAATAAGAATAATACTAATAAGAAGAATAATAAACATAATGCCAATAATAATAGTAATACGAATCAGAAGAAGAAAACTAAGACAAACACCAATAATACAACTAGTACTATTAATAAGAAGAATACGAATAATAATAATAAAACCAATAAGAATAATAATGCTAATAATACTAATACTAATAACAACAACAAAAAACTATTATTACTAATACGAATAATACCAATATCAATAACATCAACAATAACACTGATATAATACTAATAGTAATACTAATAACAATAATAATACTACTAATAATATCAATAATCATAATAATCACAATACTAATAATAGTAATAATAATGGTACTAATAATATTACTAATAATAATCATAATAATTATACTACTAATAATAATAATGATGATGATGACGATACTGATGACGATGATGATGGTGATGATGATACTAGTAATATTATTCCTAATAATACTACTGAGAATAATACTAATAATACTAATAATAATAACAATAATACTGATACTACTAATCATAATAATACTAATACTAATGACAATACTCATAATAATCATAATAATACTCATACTAATAATAATACTACTAATAATACTACTAATAATAATACTAATAATAATACTAGTAAGAATAATAAATACAATCATAATACTAATAACAATAATACTAATCATAATAATACTACTACTACTACTAATACTAACATCAACAATAATAATACTAGTACTAGTAATAATAACAAGAATAGTAAGAATAACACTGATACTAATAA